CCTCCGACAGGCAGGAGCCTACTCAGAGGCCTTCTGCCCCACGAGGTCGGTGGTCCAAGGCCTCCGATCAGGCACTCGTTTCGCCAAGGTGGTCACATTTTTTATCATGCAGAAGATTACCACAACTCACGTGCATCTTTCACATCGGTTGTGGATCGACGATTTGAGTCAGGTATCCAAAGGGTCACGACGAGCAGTTCGGGATAGGCTAGTGGCATGTTTGAAGGAGACCTGCCAGATGATGCAACACGACGGCCTCAAGATCTCCCCGAAAAGCGTGGTGGTGTGCACCAAGCTCGCGGACGCCAAGGAGGTTGTGAGGAGGCTCAAGGTGGCGGGCTTTTCTGTGACGGCAGCGGCGCAGACCCCATATCTAGGGGTTGACGTCGGCGGAGGACGGCGCCACGTTCGCGCCACCAAGACGGCGCGAGCAGCTCGCCATCAGAAGATGCACAAGAAGGTTTTGAAGTATGCACGTACAGCGCGTCGCTATCGGCTTACAGCTAGGCTGGAGCAGCAAGGAGCTGCAGCGGCAGGAGCGTACGCACATCAAGTTCACGGCATGTTTGGACATCGCATGCGGCAGATGAGGACTTTCTTGTGCGACGCCTCCAGCCCTAGGCTCACAGGGCGGTGCGTCACCACGCTGCTGGACCTTCTTGCACCAGGACGTGACCCTGCCCTTCGCTTGCCGAGGGAGTGTTTACAGATGTGGGTTCGGACATGGGTTTCGCAACCGGCGCTGCGCAGCGGGATCGAGCGAACTTGGAGATCTTTGGCCCAAGAATTTCGTTCCATGCCGCCACAGCTGCGCAGCCGCCACATACGCGGACCCCAGGCAGCAGTTATCAACTATCTCTTGCAGGAAGGATGGGAGCCAGAGGGTCCATCAGATTGGCGAGTACAAGACGATGGATCAGAGCTCCAGCACAACTGGCAGTTCAACCCTGAGGCTTTCACGGGCTTCGAGCAGGTGGACGTGCCGAAGGCTTTCTTGCAGGAGTACGAGGGCGCCGTGATGCAGAGGCTTTGGCGGCAGGCAGCCTTGCATTTTGACGGAGGCGGCATGGAAGGAGGGATCTGCAATCTCTCCTTGCGGGCCCTTCTTCGGCAGCTCGAGGAGGGGCCCAACGGCAAGCAGCTGGCTGGACTACTCCTGTCGGCAGCAGCGGGAGCAGCATGGCCACGGGAGCGCAGGTCAGAGAAATCCAAGTTGCCGATATCCCAGATTTGCGCACGGTGTCGAGCAGAGCGGGAGACCTCTTTCCACCGCATTTGGAGTTGTTCTAAGTGTGTAGATCATGATATATATCGTGTGTCAGACGAATATGCACCCAGAGCACATTCACAGTATGAAGTTGAACCGTGTTTCTGGCACCGAGGTTTGCTGCCGCAGTCCTGGGTAGCCGTCCCGCCCCCACAAGAGGAGGCAGATTGGTGGTCTGAGGGAGTCGAGGTTTTCGAAGATAACTGCTTCGGCGTGGGCTCTCCGTTGGCCCCCCTGTGCCTTTTCGGGGACGCGAGCGGGGGCGAAGATACTTCCGACCCCAGGCTCCGCAGAGTAGGGTGTGGAATTGCACAGTATTCTGACATTTCAGATAATATGCAACTTGTTGCTTCTGTTTGGGGAGGCCTCCCAGGGCCCGTCCAGACAGTTGCCAGGGGTGAACTTTTCAGTTTCTTGTCAGCGCTGATCGGCGCTGATGGTGTCACGCTCTATACCACAGATAATTCCAGTGTGTGCTCAGGATGGTATTGCGGGCGGGCCTTCGCCCCAGAGGGGGAGAACGCGGACCTTTGGTATCAGGTAGGTCAGGTGCTCAGACGAAAACCGATCTTATCCTGCACGGTCCTTTTTGTTCATTCCCACCAGGAGGCCCGAGATGTACTCCAGGGTAAAGCACCTCTGTATTTGACGGTAGGTAATGCAGCTGCTGACAAGTTGGCCGAGGCAGCGGCTCGTTTAGTACGCATCCCAGCCTCTGATAGATCGAAAGTTTTCCTGAATGAGAAGATGGCTTTCGCCGTCCGCATGCGTATTTTACTGGCCACAGTCGAGACTTTAAAAGCCGAGGCCGCCCTGGCGGCCGAAGAGCCCCGAGGAACCCGTGTCAGGAATCCAGGGCCCCGGCCAACAGCGCATCTGGTTTGTAAAGAGTTTTCGACCCTGCATACGCTGTCTGAAAACGGTCTTTCTTGTTTGAAGTGTAGGAGCTCCACCACTAAAGGTATGCGCAAGTTTTGGTTGGAAACCCCATGCTTTGACCTGAGGGCTATAGATGGCGTTTTGCTCAGACCGCCCCCCCGTTGCAGGGTGCACATCTGTGGGGGGTGGGCTGACGACAGTCACACATTACAGTTTCACGCTGGGCTGGGGATTTGGTTCTGTGGCACTTGTGGAAGTTTTGCGGCCCAACAGTTGGCCCAACTCGGAAAGAAGTGCGACGGCAGAGCCACAGGTAATCGTGCTGATTATTTAAAGAATATTGAACGGGGGATCTGGCCTAAAGCTTATAGCAAAGCTGACAAGGCCAGAAGAGCGGCTCGTTCTCTTTAATCGTCATCGTAACCGACACAGTCGCAATATCCGTAACTCCGTAACTCCTCCTCCTCCTCCTCCTCCTCCTCCTCCCCCTCCTCCTCCTCCTCCTCCTCCTCCTCCCCCTCCTCCTCCTCCTCCTCCTCCTCCCTCCTCCTCCTCCTCTCCTCCTCCTCCTCCTCCTCCTCCGCCTCCGCCTCCGCCTCCGCCTCCTCCTCCTCCTCCTCCTCCTCCTCCTCCTCCTCCTCCTCCTCCTCCTCCTCCTCCTCCTCCTCCTCCTCCTCCTCCTCCGCCCCCACTTGTAGCACGCGGGCCCTACGAATCCTCACAGGTGTCGACGTCCTGCCCTGGGCACCTGGAGAGCGGTGGGTATGGAAAACGTCCCTTCCCCATGGGTGGGCAGATATCCGCATCCAGCACTCCTCGATGGTGTCCTCGATATTCAATGGCACGACTCCGAGGCGGTGGCAGGCGTGGCAGTTGGGCACCCTAGGGAGGAGTCGCCAGGGGGTATGATACTTGCCCGTTCGCGCTCAGATTGTGAGGATGTCTCAGACGGTGTTCTACTTGTGCCTCGCCCCCCCCCCTCGATCCCTCTGTCATGTTCGGTTCCTGATCGCCGCGATACAGCAGATGTGGCATCCCAATGAGGAGACGCCAGGGAGTAGGACACGTGCCTGTTCGCGCGCAGAGTGGCGCGTGGTGATGCCTCGAGCAATTCGCTCGTTGGCGTCCCCACGCATCCCTCCTTCCTCCTTCCGTCCCGCCTGCTTCACCCGACTTACAGTCATACCAACGCAGACTCACATCGGTCACACCTAAACTCATGTACACAAGCCCCCACACACTGCCCATTCACACTCAGACTCAACAACACTCAGACTCAGCCAAACTCAGATTACGCGTACGTGCCCGGATTCACTCACACTCAGACTCAACCACGCCAAGACTCACTCACACTCAGACCACGCACGTGCGCACCCTGAGGGGGGGGAGCCGCCAAGGGATGGTTTGCCCTTGCCCATTCGCGGCTCAGTTGTGGGGGCGTCTCTGGCGGAACGCTATGCTTTCCAGGGGCCCAGAGAAACACAAACGAATAGATACCTATCCCAGGATTCCCCAGTTGCTTGTCATGGATTCTGGGTGTTCGTCGCCCCCCCACGTCTCATATTGTTCCATCTGTTCCTGGCAGTCGCCGATCAATTGTGTCTGTGAATTCTCACCCCATCTGACAATTGTGGGACGCTTCAAGCGGAAAGTTGTGTTTTTGTTCTGGCACCCCCGACTGTTTTCTTGTCAGAGCCTCCTCCTCCTCCTCCTCCTCCTCCTCCTCCTCCTCCTCAACCACCTCCTCCTCCTCTTCCTCCTCCCTCCCTCCCTCCCTCCCTCCCTCCCTCCTCCCTCCTCCGTCCTCCGTCCTCCCTCATCCCTCATCCCTCCGTTTCCTCCTCCTCCTGACGGGACTCATGGACGGCACCACCCGTCGAGGAGATCGAGGCACTGGACTTCGAGGCGGGCGAGGAGGCCGAGCTGGCAGCAGCCAGGACGGGCCTAAGGTTAGGTCGGGCATGTCCCCCTACAAGCGGATGTTGGAAGAACGATAAAATAGTCAAACCATATTCAAAGATACTCAACAATATTCAAAACATTGTCTCCAGACTATTGTTCGACAAGTCTTAATACTCCTCCTGTGTAGGGACAGGCCCGATAGAAGCCTAAGGAGGACCTCAAGGGCCTCAAGGAGCAGCCAGAGCGGCCCACTCTCAGACAGACACTCCCGGCGGGCGGTGCCAAAAATTGGAGATGGGCTGCACAGACGGGGGCCCGTCAAGAATATGACAGTCTTCGGCGTCCCGGGAGGGGGGGGGGGCGCATCAGATGCCTGGCCGCCGCGCACCCCAGGACGGGCCTAGGAGGAGGCGGAGGAGGAGGCGGAGAAATGAGGAGGAAAAGGAGGAGGAGGAGGAGGAATGAGGAGGAGGAATGAGGAGGAGTGGGAATGAGGAGGAGGAGGAGAAAGAGGAATGAGGAGAAGGAGGAGGAGAAGAAAGAGGAATGAGGAGGAGGAATGAGGAGGAGGCTCCTCCAGGAGGGGGGGAACAGGAGCAGGAGGAGGAGGAAGAGGAGGAGGAGGAAGGGCACTGGATGACAAACGGAACCTGGCGGAGGAGGTCGAAGGCTCCAGGGTGTGCCTTTGCGGGTGTGCGGTGCGGTCCCCTGGGATTCCTCGTGCCCTCGTGCTCGCACAGGCGCCCTGCGCGGCGCGGCCATCGGTGCTTCATCCTCGCTGAAGAACCCCCACCGACATCTCCTGGCGTGCGTGTTGGGTATAACCTGGAGGAGAATACAGCCTCATACAAAATCATGCAAATTCTTCATCCTCCTCCTTTCCCCCTCCTCCTTCCTCCTTCCTCCTTCCTCCTCCCTGCAACCCTCCCTCTCAAGCACTCCCTCACGGGGCCGTTCTGCAGAGGGCCGACCCAGTCGTCGTGGACTGCGAATCCATCCAGGGTGGTGCCCTGATCATGTAGGGCCGGGCAGGGACAGGCAGAACAGGTTAGACTCGGAAGCGCAGGGAGTCGAAGAGAGCGGGTGAAAGGAGGACGACGGGAGGAGGACGAGGAGGCGGTCTCGCAGAATGCTGCTCGGTACCGACGGCTACGGAGTGGAAAGGAAGGAACGCCAATTGTGGTGGGATAGCTGACCGACCCAGGGCCGCGCACCTGGCCGAGAGCCTGATCAGCAACCCCACGCAGGCGACGCGGAAGGGGGCGGCGAACATGTCACGACAAGAGAAGGTGCGGCAGCCGGCGCTCGGGGACGGCGGCCCTGGCAGCCACGGCGTCATCCCGCCGAGGAGTTCCCCCAAGCGGGGGCTGGGCAATGACCGCCGCCCATCGACGCCACAGCCGGCAGCGGGACCCCTCGCGGTGGGGGGTCAGCACGGGCTTGCCCCAGTACGAGCCCCACTGCGAGCGACAGTGTACGCAGCAGCCTCGGCCGCTGTCGAGACGGAGCTGGCTGCCAACGTGCACCGATGGAGCTGACAACGGCGGGGCCAGAAAGTGCTGGATGGCAGACGCTAAAATCGGCGCTATCTCATCGACTCCCAGATGCCAGTCGACACTGAAGACGGAATTGATAGGGTATACCAGGCTCCGATGATTTGCCACTGAAAAGTAGAATGCCGAGTGAAGAGACAAGGCCCCAGCCATCACCCGCACCGGCGACAGAATCGAGGGCGCGCAAACATGGATTAGCGACCCATGGAGTTGGCGCGCGGTCGCCAAATCCATGGATCGGGGGAGGTGCCCTCCCCAAAATGCGGCCGGCGCCGCCTCGCTCGGCGGCGGAAATCTGCGACTTTCCATGGAAGCGAGACCCGACGCTAATCCACGCCCCCTTGATTCATGCTTGCGATCGCCTGACCACGCTTTGCCTCCGAAGAAGTGGAGTACCGAGTGAAGAGACAAGGCCCCAGCCATCACCCGCACCGGCGACGGGAGCGGCGAGGGGAACGCGCGGGGAGCGCGGCCGTGCGACAGGGAGGCAGGAGCTCACGGGAGCACGCGTGAAGTACAGTCGGCCTCGACTGGGCAGGACACGCGAGAGGACACGAGACCCTTCCGCTGTCCACATTGCCGTAGGAATGCAGGAGACATGGGTCGCAAGACACAGGACACGAGGGTACCCTGGATCTGGCAGGGTCGACCTACTAGTCCGGGCCGCCTGTACTGGAGGGAGCGCGATCCCCCGTCGCTAGCCTGTTAGGTGCTACAGGGCGGGGTCAAAAACGAGGCCTGCCCCCTGATCCCCCCCCCCCAAAAAAACAGTTCGCCGCTTGGGCCCCACCGCCAGCCCGAACGGCGAGCAGAAGTCGGGCGTAGCCCCACACGCAGTTGAATGCAAACGCTTCGTCCTCGTGCTACTCGTATTCCTCCCTGTCCTCATTCCCGTCCTGAGCGTTGTCATCGTCCTCCTCCTGGTCCTTCTCCTCATCCTCCTCGTCTTCCTCGCCTTGCTCTTGCTCCAATAAGGGGGGGGCAAAACCAGGGGACCCCTCCCTCACCCCAGCCCCATGGGGGTCTGGACCACCCCCCGCCGGGCAGAATTAGCCGGGAAGATCGACAATCCCCCCCCCTCCCCAAAAAAGTGACTTAAAAGGTCGCTAACCCCCAGGCGACGACGACGGCGACGACAATAGGGACGAGGACAGAAAGGAAGATGACGACGACGACGACGACGACGACGACGACGACGACAACGGACGACGGACGACGACCACGACGACGACGACGATGCCGACAACGACGACGGCGACGCCGACGTCTTCTACGACGATGATTGCGACGACGACAACAACGACAACAACGACAACAGCAATGCTGGCAACAACAACGAAGACGACGCAGACGACGACAGAACCGAAGCACAGGACGAGGTCGAAAACGAGGACGATGACGACGGACGACCACGACGAAGACGACGAAGACGACGACGACGCCTACGACGACGCAGACGCCAGCGGCAGCGTCAGCGGCGGCGACGCGAACCTGCTGTAAGCGCCCGCGCCAGGCGCGGGCTCTGACACAATGCCACTAAAATGCAATCGCGTTGGAAAGGAGTCCTGGTATGTTTCGGCCCAGCCCCATACGAATCTCACCAAGGATCGATTCGGCCCTCGGAGATTCTTTCTGGGGTTGAACCTAGATCCGAGCAGATTCTTAGAAGGCTGGCTCCAGCCCAAATCGGATCCTACCAGGGCTCGGTCCAACTGTGATCGAATATTCCTAGGGCTCCGCCGAGCTCTACTAATATCGTTCTAGGGGTCGACCCAACTTTCGAAGAATCCAGGGCTCGATCCAGCTCTGATCAAATCCTCTCGGGCTCGGTTCAGCTCGAACAGAATCCTGCCAGAAATCGATCCAGACTTAGCGCACTCCGAATAAGATTCGATCCACTCCTAAAAGGTTCCTACTACGACTGGGACCAGCTCTAATATGATGATATCAAGGCTGGGCCAACGTCTGCTGGAATATTACTCAATCTCGATTCATAACAAATCCAAATTGACCATAAAGCTGGGTCCTGCATTAATAGTATCCTTAAGAGCCTGGGTCCAGGTCAAAGAGAACCCGATTAGGTATCGATCCAGCAGATATTGAATCCGATCATGGATGGGGTAAGCCATAATCGCATCCCACTAGGGCTCGATCGTAATCGTTTGCGCCTTCGTCGTCGTCGTTGCCGTCGTCTTCGTCGTCTTCGTCGTCGTCGTCGTCATCGTCGTCGTCAACGCCCGGGGGGAGGCGGTTCGTGACCCCTCGGGTCATGTTCATGGGGGCGGGTGCGCCGGACACCTTCGAACATTTCTCCAGGGGGCGGGTTCTTGACCTCCTCCGCCCCCGTCGTTTTGGGAAGGGGAGGGGGGCTGAACCCGAAAATGCGACAACTTACAAACGAATGAAGCGGATTCCAACCATGTTGGTGCCAAGTCCAACTAAATTGGTACCAATTCCAACCGGTCTGGAAGCTCTTTAAAGATTCCTGATAGGTTCCTTCGAAATTCCTGGAGAGGTCTCTTCGACATTCCTTCGGGGTTCCTTCGAGGTTCCCTGGGACCCCTGAAAATTCTTTCGGGATTTCTGCGAAATTCCTTTGTCATGATTCCTCAAGTGTAGAGAGTTCTGAGGATTCGTCATGATTCTTCAAGGTTTCCTTCGGATTCCTCAAAGAGTCCTCCTGATGCTCTTGGGGTCGTCAGGGTTTCCTGTGGGATTCTTTCGGAATTCGTCGGCATTCCCTAACAAGTGATATCTCCGGATTGCACAAGATTTCCCAAGGATTCCTCCGAGATCCCCCGGATTCCAAACAAATCCCAAGGGTTCCGAGACACTCTTCATGGATTCCTCAGGATTGCGTTGGATTCTTTGGAATTCCTACCGGACCTCGGGAGTTTTAAAAAAGCGGATCCAAAGATTCATCGCGGAGATCCCTCGTGGTTATGCAAAGATCCGTTGCGGTTCTTCATAGTTTCCTCGGGATTCCTGAAAGATTCCTGTGGAATTATGGGATGTGCCTTGGGATTCCACATGGTTCTTCGATATCTCAGCATGCCTCGTGATTATTCACGGATCCCAAAAGAATTCCTTCCAGGTTGCCTCGTGGTTCAAAGACCTCTTGCGATGTTTCAAAGATTCCTCGGCTCTCCTCATGGCTGCTTGAAAGGCCCTTGTGATTCTTCAAGAAAGTCACCGTGGGGATTCTGAGATTCTTTGTGGGTTCCTCAGACGTTCCTCAGGAAGCCTGCCGATGATTCAAAAATGCCTCGGGCTTCTTTAAAGAGTTCGGATTCCAGATATTCTTCTAGATTATATTGAAAAGTCCTCAGAAAGGTTCCTCCCAGGACTCTTCAGGAATTCCTGAAGGATCCCTCTGGATTCCTTGCAGGATTCCAGAACAGATGCTTCCAATATTCCTGAAGGATTCCGTCCAGGATTCATAAAAAGGGTTCCTGAAGGACCCCCAGGATCCCAGGGAGATCCTTCCAGGATCCCTGAGAGCTCCTTCCAGGATTCTGGGAAGATCCTTCCAAACTCCTTGAGGGATCTGACCCAGATCCTGGAGAGCTTTCAGGATCGCTGAAAAGGCCCTAAACACTTCTTCAAAGAACCCAGGATTCCCGAGCGATCCTCGCAACATTCCCAAAAGGTCCTTGCAAATCTCCCGAGAGATCCTCCAAACATCCCCAGGGGATCCCATCTCCTTCCGCGAACCGCCCAGGAAACCTGCGACACACCAGCTCGCTTCTCACGGGCTCCTTTCGGGCCCCTGCTCCCGAGAAGCTTCGGATTAGGTCGGGCATGTCCCCTACAGGCGTATCTCGCAAGAATACACAAGTCAAAACATGCACCAACACACACACAACAACAATTCTTAAACATCGTCCCCAGAGTATCTGTGGACTAATTCAGAACATGCCTCCTGTAGAGGGACACGCCCGACTTCAGCTTAGGAGAAACGCCTTCGGGCCCCCCCCCTCCAAGAAGGCGCACGCGAGGCTCCCGAGAGAGGCGCCTGCACTGCTCCTGACACGATGCACCTCCTCCCCCTCCTCCCCCTCCTCCTCGTCCTCGTCCTCCTCCTCCTCCTCCTCCTCCTCCTCCTCCTCCTCCTTCCCCTCCCCCTCCTGCGGAGAGACGCTTATCCAGTTATCATACGCCAGCACTGGAAGTTCCAGAAACATTGGCGACCACTGGTGACTTTCGAGACAACTCAACTCGCAGAAGTCAAAGGGTAATAAACCAGCACCAGTTCCAACCGCTTGACTCGTTTCCCGCTCCCAGAATGTACACTGAAGACGTAGAACTGATGTCTGAATAATCGGGCAGAACTATACACATCGAATACTTTTCTCGGCTCAAAATGGATGGTTGCAATTGGTATCACTTGTTTTCTTCGCCGGTTGAGAAATGGCCCAGCTGGTTGTAATTGGTACCGGTCGGTTGGGATTGATCTCAGATGCGGTCAGACCCCTCCTGCCAGCAGCGGCAGAAAACGCACTTTCAAACAGTGGAGATCCACCGTGCAAGCCAAACTCACTTACCCGAGAGGCGGCAAGCTGCGCTTACTGCCGCATTACTTCAACTGGGGGCCTGTGCTGGACCAGCAGGGTACCCGAAAGCTTCAGCACAAGCAACCAGCGATTCGCAGGGGACTGATGCTTGCACATGCCTTGCGCCGACGCAGAACTCCCACTCGCAGGTGCCACGCGAGGTGGCAACTGCCGTTAGGTCGGGCATGTCCTCCTGCAGGCGGATTTTGGACGAAGCACGACAACTAGCCAAAACATACATGCCAAACATCGCAGAAGCATCGTTCCCAGGCTATGTTTGCCACCTTTCTTGATAGTTGATATTCCTCCTGCAGAGGGTCGTGCCCGACTCAACCCTGCCACCCCAGCCGCATCACGAACTCGCCGGCCCGCTCGCCCAGAACGGGCCCGCCCGGCGGCAACCGCCCTCTCCATCCGGAGCGTCTTGCAGACTGGCCACGCCAGGGGCCAGATTGGCGGTCGGAGCTGCCTAGAGAGGAAGCCCTGGCGTTAGGTCGGGCATGTCCCCCTACAGGCGGGTCTTCGAAGAAAAAGTAAGCATGCTCAAAAAAATTGTCGAACCATTGTCCCCGTACAAATGTTGGAGTACTTTTGAACATTCCTCATGTAGAGGGACATGCCCGATTTAACCCTAGCTGCTCAGCAAGAATGGCGCGCACGTGCTGCTGCGGTGCAGCAGTACTGCAGCTTGTCTGAGCCCTCGTAATGAGCGCGAAAGCAAGGGACGGACTGCAAATCGTGGGAGCTGACCAAGCGATGCGCACAACTAATCAAGTAGCAACGTTCACTACCGTCGCAAGTCATCAGCGAATTCAAGCAAGATGTTAGGCGGGGACAGGGGACCGACCTGCACGGCAAAGATTGTTTGCCAGCCAGCAGTGCTCCCTAACACAAAGGAAAGAAGCTCGCGGAGGAGGGCGGAGGAGGAGGAGGAGGAGGGCGATGAGGAGGAGGACGAGGAGGGCGATGAGGAGGACGAGAAGGGCGATGACGAGGGGGGGAGCGAGGAAAGGAAAGGAAGCAATGCCTTTACAACGCTTGGGCGAAGGGGAAATCCAGACTTAAGCTCGAGAATAGATGGCACCTTACGTGGAGGCTTACGCAAGCTACCCGCGCGGCACAACTCACGGACAAGACGGCAGGTGCGCGCGACCTTACGCTGGGAACTCGCGGCTTGCGCTGTCCGCGCGCTCGTTTCCCTGCTTGCGTGTCGCTCACTGGAGGGTTCAGACAAGAGGCTGACTGATGGGCAACCGCAAGAAGGTTCACCAACGAAGCGCTTCGGTGAAATCGCACCGCGAACTTTCCCGCTCTGGTTGTAATTGTTCTGCTTGGTTTGGCGGGTGCTATCTCCCCTCTCCCCTCTCTGCATCGCTGTGCCACTGAATGGCACTCGCATACTTCCGCTCTCACGACAACTCGCATAACATAGATTGTCGATGCGCTGGTGGGGGTGCGCGAAACGTCACACCTTCTGGGAAACGGTCGCACACTCTGGGGTATGGGCTGGTACCACAAACATAGTATACGCTTCGTTGAAGACCATTCGCTGCAACCAATTCCCGCAGGCCGCCTCGTCGGACGTACCCATGTCGCATATAAAAAACCTGTCCTCCTCGGACTTGATCTTGCAGTGCGCCTGCGCCAGCCTTGGATGGAGGCGAGGGGAATGCACGTAGCCCCATCAAGACCGCACACGCGGACACGCATGCGCATACACACGAGCACCTTGTGTGTTAACAGGGTCGATATACATGAACCTCAATGGGCGTGCATCCAACGGCAAGACCACTAAGCGACAATAACAACAGAGTGCTTGCAAGGAGCGGTGCGCGCGGGGGAAGGAGGTGGAACGCGTCAGGAGGCGAGGAGGGCAGAGCACGGAGAGAAGCTGGGCGGCGCGCCAGAGGAGGCGCTACACGGACACGCGCAAACGCACGTGTGCACACGCCCTGAACGATCCCTCTTTCCTTCGCCCTCGCCGTCGCCTTCTTCCTTCCCTCTCCGCCCCCCCCACGCCCCATCCCTCTCCTCCTGTTTCCTCCTTCTCCTCACTGGTCGCTCCTCTTTCCTCGCTTCGAATACTCGTTGCGGGCGTGCGCGCCATGGCTGGCTGCCCCCCCCGCGACCCTACCTACCCGCGACTTGGTGGTGTTGGGCCCTGTCCTTCTGAGGCAATTACTGAAAGCAACTCTCTCTCGGCTTCTGGATCGACCATGGAACAGTGGGTCTTTTGCGCCGCAGCGCCCGCGCGCACGCCGCAGACCAGAGAGCTCAGGCCGGAGTTCTGGACCCCGACTCGGCGATGGGGCGCGGTGACGCACGTTCTATGAGCATCGTTTAACCGATCCCCATCCCCAGTGGCGTGGCCTGGGCCCCACTGGCCGATTTACCCCCCTAGACGGAGATTTAGGTCGTTCCCTTTGAGTTTCGAGGGATGTATCCCCAACTGGGGTGGTAATTTGGTGGGGGTCTCGAAGGGGATGGGGATGGGGATGGGGATTGGTTAAACGATACCGATTCCAAAGCACTGCGTAAGGCTGGATCGGACAGACCTCTTGCGGCCTACGGCGAGCTGGCACTGCCCTCAGAGCAGCGGGCCCTCGGGGCACGGTACCGAGAACAGCGCGACACACACCCGACAGACTCCGCGGCAGCCTTCGACGCACTTGTCCGCAGAACCGTGTCAGCTGGACGCGACTTCGCTTCGAGAAGACGACAGGCCCAGCCCCTGCCGCGACTACCTCCCTACTGGAGCTGGCCCAAATCCATCGTACTGGCGGTGACCCGCTGGAACGCACCAGTCGGGACGACTCCCACCCAGCCTGGCTCCTGCCGCGACAACCTCCCGACTGGGGCTGGGCCAGGAAAAGACCGTGAGCGTATCGTATTGGGGGCGACCCACTGGAACACATCAATCGCGACGGCTCCTACCCAACCAGAAGGCGGGCAACGGTTTTTTCTTTCCCGGGCAACGGTCGTCGTTGCCCAGGGAGGGCTCGGGCGGGAGACCAACGGTGACGGCAGCCGTGCACCCGGCAGGGTGGATCCGCGCCACCAGCGCATCAATCGTCTGTGCACCACAACATGTAGAGGGGGTCAAGGTCACCACCCCAAGACGATCGATAGCGTTACCCAGGGTGCGGGGTCAGCCCAGGTAGCAAGCGTTACACTGGGGAGGCAACAAAAAAACGCTCACGGGCGAGACTTGCCGCGACGGCACCTCGACGAGAGAGAAGCGCTTTCCCCCAAGTCCGCAACCAAGAATTACAGCTGGCTGCACGCGAGCTTGCGTCCACACCGCAATAACCGCACTCAGCCTCCGTCGCACGGTCAAGGGCGCTAAGCCGCAGTCCCACCGCATCGATGGGGCCGTCGATTTGGCCTGGAGCACCAAGGCCTTCAGAACGTGGCCGCAGTCATATTTGGCGCGGCTCTAACTGCCGCGCGGCTGCGCATCGCCTCCTGCGAGACGGAGGTCGTCGTATCCGCTGCCGAGCTCCAGGACTTATTCACCGAGCAGTTCCCCAGAGCCTCACCGATCCACGGAGCGAAAACAAAACTTCCAGACCAAGGTCCCAGCCAAATGGGCGTCAAGCAACGCTAGAGAGACGTCAACAAGGAACGGGCCAAGCAGGCCCTGGACGGCAATACCATCCAGGCGATCTTCCATACCCACTTCCCCCTCGTGGCCACTTGCGTCAAGGCAAACCTGGACAACAGACCAACAGAATCATGCGAATCCGCGCAGGCGCCGCGCCCGCGCCCGCGCTCCCGCGCGCCCGCGCGCTCGCGAGCCCGCGCGCCTGCGCGCCTTCGCGCCCGCGCGCCTCTGCGCCCGCCCGCGCCGCCGAGCTCACCAACGAACCCAGGGAGCGCTCCCTGGGCGCCCCAGGACCCCATGAATCGTTGCCTGGGAGCTGCGAGCCCAAGAAGCGCTGCCCGGCCCAAGCGCTGCCCGCGAGCTTTGGAAACGCTGCCTAGGCGCTGCCTCGGACCTGCCTGGGACCCGCGCGCGAGCTCGGGAAGCGCTGCGGAGGAGCTGCGCAAACGCTTGAGGCGCACGTGCCGGGAACGAGTAGGGAAAGCGCTTGCGGGACAGGCTAGAGGTTCCAACAGGGCGCTGCGAGGATGCCTGACCGGCAACCGTGGAGAAGAAGCTGGCCTGGCCCTGCCTACCAGCTTGGGAGCTGCCTGGGAGCCGCCTGTGCGCCGCCTGGGCGCCTCCCGCGAGCTCAGGAAGCGCTGCCTAGGAGTTGCCTGGGCGCTGCCCACGAGCTGGGAAGCGCTTCCAAGGAGCCGCTGCCCACGAGCCTAGGAAACGCTGCTCAATAGCTGCCTAAGCGCTGCCCGCCAGCCTAAGAAGCGCTGCCTAGGCGCTGCCTCGGACCTGTCTGGTGGGACCCGCGCGCGACCTCAGGAAGCGCTGCGAAGGAGCTGCGCAAACGCTTGCGACGCACGTGCCGCGAACGAGTAGAAAAACGCTTGCGAGACACGCTGGAAATTCCAACAAGACGCTGCGAGGATGCCTGACTGGCAACCGTGAAAACGAAGCTGGCCTAGCCCTGCCTACCAGCTTCTTCTCTGTACTACACCCCGTGTAGCTCTCTCACGGATCTGTCCGGGAATGCTCGACGCCTCCTCGGGGCTGGTGCGACAGACAGGGCGCTGTCGCGGGCAAGCGGCGGCTCGACGCCGCCCTCCGGGTCGCCCCGCTTTGCCATCGCTCGAACGTGCATTACCCGTGCACTGTTTGGCTTCGTGCGCTTCTCGGGGGCGCGCAAACACGGATTAGCGATCCATGGATTTGGCGCGCGGTCGCCTAATCCATGGATAGGGCGAGCTGCCCTTCCCAAAATGCGGCCGGTGCCGCCTCGTTCGGCGGCGGAAATCCGCGATCCCCCATGGAAGCGGGACCCGTCGCCTATCCACGCCCCCCTTGGTCCATGCTTGCGATCGCCTGGCAGATGCTCTTCGGCCCCCGACGATACAAATCCACACGCCCGAGCGATGCCAAGCTGCACGCCGTTCCCGCCGCCCTCGCCACAAGTCTCGGGCCGGGCGAAAGGGGGGGATAGCAAAGGGGGGGGTTGAGAATCAGCTCACGTAGCTGATTTTCCCGGCGCCTCCCGGAGGAGGAGAAGGAGGAGGAGGAGGAGGAGGAGGAGGCGGCCATGTATCGAGGAATGGGCCCCTCGGTGTGGCCGAGACCAGCTGCATGCAGCAGATTTCGTAACCCCCCTTTCCTTTCCCTATCCCCCCCTCCGTTCGTCTGGCCCGAAGCTCCTGGGCGCGTGCGTGGCCGCGCGGCGCCACCGCAGACCTCGGCCCAGTGCCGCGGCGGGGGGCCCGCGGACGGGCTCTCAGCTCCGAGCGCGTCCCCGCCTGGTGCGAGCCGGAAGCGGGCGCCGTCGAGGGCGGCAAAACGGCGGGCACTCCTGCCTCCTCCGAGAGGGGAGCGCTGTGGGGCCCTCCTGTCTCGCAATTTGCGCATCCTCATCATCATCGTTATCATCATCGTTATCATCATCGTCATCATCATCATCATCATCATCATCATCATCATCATCATCATCATCATCATCATCATCATCATCATCATCATCATCATCATCATCATCATCATCATCATCATCATCATCCTCATTGTCCTTATAATATGTATCATAAGCATCATCACCATCCTCATTAACATCATCATGATCATCTGCATTATCAGCATCATCGTCATCGCCTACATCAGAATCATCATTATCATCACCATCATCGTTATCAACATCGTCTGTATCATACTCAGCATTATCAGCATCATCATCATCATCATCATCATCATCATCATCATCGTCATCGTCATCGTCATCATCATCATCCTCGTCATCATCATCATCGTGATTACATACCCTGTCGTTTGTGCGATTACAACCAGCACTGTTTGGTTATACCAGCATTGCTAATCCCTGATATGGTAATTCAACTTTTGATTATTCATGAACTTCTTTGTGTCCTTCAGATCGTTCTCCCAGCTCTTCTGCATTTCTCTCATGGAAACGCCCCACACTTATAATCCTTGTTACAAAGGAATTGCTTGTGTGGCAGCTTTACACAGGTCAGGCTGGCGGTGCCCGCAGATTGCATGAGTGAATTTCTGCGGCGCCCCTATTTTCTGTTCTGGGGCTTGCCGCCGTTCCCAACGCGCGGGGTCAACGAGCTTACGGCGGTCACGGGGGCCACAACGACGACGACGCCACAACGACGACGACGACGGCATCTCGGCCTACCTGGCAATCCCCCCGCAAAAGGGCACTCCGCAAGGAACTGGCTCGATACGAACGGCGGGCACGTAAAATTTGCGCGCCCACGATGCCGGAGCCTCGCTTACGTTTCATGTTGCGGGATGCCAAGGCGCATTTAACATATCTGGATACCCGCGCAACGACCATCAATTTGGATGGCGTACAACACCCGCGCGCATAAACGGATTGGACTCGAATGGGTAGGGCGGGCGAGGGCAAGCGAAACTATGGCAGAAATCCAGCCCTGAACATGTAGAGATGCTTGTGCTGGTTAGTTCTAATGTTGAGAACATGTCCCCAATGAGGCGTACGCCCTGTGACAGGGGGTTTAAAGTGGGGGGATCTGCAATGGCGTC